AAACAAACATTTCCCATTAAAATTTCATGATTGCAAGTTTTCCCACTAAAACAGTGTGCCCCGTATAGTTGGTATTGATGATACATACCTTTCAATGTCATTCACACCAGAACCTTTCAACTGAGCATAAAACCATAGGTGTTCCTGCACAGTTAATCTATATAAAAATAAAATATATTTCATCTCAATACATATTTTGTTCTGTTATCACCAAGATGCCCTACACTAGCTCTAACAGAACTGATTTTTATAGGAATCAAAGTGGAATCCCACAAAACCAAGTTGAGTTAACTTGTAGACTGATGAAATTATAAAATTGTTTGCGACTGTACTGGCGATTTTAGACATGAAAAAAAAATTGAGTGGTGCCTGATTTCTTTTGTATTTACATTTTTTGTTTATAAAATGTGAATTTTATTTTACCAAATTTCGTAACTATAGTAAGTTTTTTTCAAGTACATTGTATCAATATATAACTTTCAAGTGTTGAGTTACATGCCTAGTGAATTAGCACAACTAGTTGTGTCGCAGCAAATCTTCGTGCGTCAGTGGCATAATCACATCGCCAGTTGACGCCATTTTTCCCCCGTTCATTTTGGTTATTTGTGGAGTTTTTCAGCGACGATATGTTAAAACAGTTGCTTGTAACACAATAATATCAGTTCATTAGCTGTATTGCTGTTCGTGTAAAAAAAATACAAACTTATAATAAAAAAGATAAAACTGGCGTATTGCAGAGCATCTATTCACTTCATTGAAAATCATAATTGTTTCACCAAAACTGTGAAGAACAAATGTTTTGAATATGTAACATCCATCTTTGATAATTTTGAGCCAACATAATTTCTCAAAGCTAATTAATATTTTTATTTATAAATATTTATACTTTATTATTATGGAAAAAAATATGCGAGTTAAATTTATTTCGTGAAAAACTAGGTTGTAAAAGTCACCTTTGTGAAGTAGCATGAATATGTCAATCTCTTTTAAATGTATTTACCAAATATTTTTTGTTTCATCTTTCTGCAAATATAGTAATTCAATTGTCATTCTTTGTCATGTCATTTAATGAAACAAGCTGGTGAATCATTCCAATATGTTGAAAACAGCATGATCATCAAGAAAAAATAATACCGTATTTGTTCTATTAGAAGCGCATGTGCTTTGTAGAGATTATGGAGAGATTAGTCTATGTTGAACATATTTCCATCATACAATAAATGCAATTGGTAATTACTTCTATTGAAGATGTACTTCTAATAGAGAAAATACAATACTTACTTATCAAAGAGAGCATTATACTGTGGACATATTCCGATGTCTTTTCTTATTGCGACCATATCTGTTCTGATATCATGGCCATTTATAAAAGCTGTACCAGACGTGGGTTCAATAAAACCAGTCAATATGGACCTAGAAGTTAATGTAATATAATAATAGTTAGGTGTGTATACAAATATATAAAATAATATTATATTACAGATATATTCTGCCAAAACATTTCTGTCACATTTTTGTTCATTCAGTAATATTTGTTGTTTTCTGACATAAGTTTTGAATGGGCCTGTAATAATTTCTTGTTGTAATGAATAAATATGTGGTTAAATGTTACAAGTAAAATGGTAATATCCTTACATGGTGGTAGTTTTTCCGGCTCCATTATGTCCCAACAACACAGTTATTTGGTTCTTGTAGAGATTTAAACTCAATTTATTAACTGCTGGAGCATCTCCTTTTTCGATAGATCTGTAATAAAAAAATGGAGGTAATTAATTTGAATTATATTTAATAGTGAAAAAATAAACAATATATTCTGTAGTTGTCCTGGTGTAGTAGATATTGAGAAGAATCAAATAGTTTCCCTGTAAATGTACCCATTATTAAAACGGAAAAATAAATGCTAAAACACTAAATTAAAAATTATATTAAATAATTTATCTTAAGTTTTCTCTTTTACCTTTTCTAAGTTTTTTATTTTAACACCAACATCCATATTGGAAGTACATTCCTCTTCATATTTGCATCTACTGGATCTCTCTGTAGAAATGAAATAAAATTTAATCGATGATGAAGATTTATAAGATAAAGAGTAAGTAACAAGTGTGATATGACATCACATGACTTGTGAGTTTACTACATAACTGCAAGTTATAAATAGCTACTATAGAATAAGAGTTTTTTATGATGTGATAACTATACATTATCACACAATAACATGAGGTTCTTAAGAGGATACCAAAAAGTATGCACAAAGACGGTACAGCAGGATTATCGACTGATATCATATGCTAAACAGTCGAGTATGATTTATTGAAATATAAAAACAATATATTGGCAGCAATAGAAGTGCATATAAATGAATAATTTCATTTGTTGTATTACTGAATTATTAAAATATTACTATGCTGACCATTGAAACATCTTATATAATATATAAGTCTACAGTAATAAAGTAAAGTAATAATATGCATGCTCGCTATTTAAAACACTGTTGTCTAAATATTGACGGCCATATCAGTGATATGTCAACAAATTTGAGTCCTACTAATTAACATGCGGACATGTGAGACTGTCCGGACACGCGCAGGGTGAACGGTGGGGAGGGGGGATACCTAGCGGGGCAGCAACAGCAATCCTTGTATTGTATAATGCTTGTTTATGCTCAAAATTTGAAACAGAATTGTGAATTCCAGCAGATATCCACACTTTTTCGGCGAATCTAGTCCACCATTCATGACCATGTTATTTCGTAATGTTGGTTAGCGTTCAACAATAGAACAATACCATTCAATCCATAGGGGTGACAATGCTATGTATTTCAAATGGCATTGAAATATGAATGTGCCCCGTGCGTGTCCGGACAGTCCCACGCGTGTCTGGACGTTAATAGACCATTTCCCGTTCACTGCGAGAATCACGCGTTATGCGTGAAATCGAACGTAAAAACAGGACAAACAAAGGTCATAGCATAGCAATATTCCTCTGTCGAAGATCGGCCGGTCAATGTAAGCTACGAAATAAAGAATTTCTAGTTCAAAATCAAATCGTTCGATTTTTGCGGCAGACGTTCGACGCGCGTCTTTCATGCATCTCGCGAGATCTCGCAATTGTACGGAAAATCACCTATTAATAGGAACAGTTTACTTTTCATTTAGAGCTGCAGCACTTAATTATGAAAGGTCTATTGCTTTTGGCAAAATGTAATATCCAACATAATTATTTAAACATCATCAAAATACCAATATTATAAAAAGTTATCAATATTGTAGTTTTAGGGGTTTCTGGCTTCGTCAATATTGGGTCTCAACCAAATAAAAAGTCAACTAGGTAAAAGTGCACAGGTTTGGTTCGAACACATGAGTATCTGATCTGATTTTCTGAAAATTTGAATGTTCTTACCCATGTTGCTTAAAACATTTTGCTGGTCCTCTTCCATCAGTGAAGTATATCCTGTATTTCTAGTGTTGATGCAGCAGCCATTCTTAGATTCATTTCCATGGTTACACCAATATGATTTGGTGATAGGAAAATACCACGGCAAAGCAATACCATAATCCCCTACAAAAACGCAATTTGATAATAATTAGTGGATTTTTAATAAAATAAGTTGGTGAAACATATTTTCAAAATTCACTGTCAGCCAAATACATCACATGTAGATTGTGGTAGCATTTTCTAAGAAACATAACCTGATGTAAACAATGAGAAAAAGAATATTTCCAAAAAATTAAGGTTACTCAGAAACAATGCAAGTTCAGTATTAGTATCTGGGGTTTGGGCACTCTCCCTTGCAGAGTCTTCTTGACCTAGGGAGCCACAGAAAGCTGCAACTAGTGGGACGTTCCCTGGCGACTACCTAGCTTAGTGATAAAAGACCCATAGTCTCAGCGACGGAGAATGGGGTTTGGGCTCTATACAAAATAGTATGATAATTAATGCATTATTGGAGTAACTACTATTTAATATCACAAACAAATAAATTCAATTAGGATTTATATTAATAATGATGAATGAACATATTTCCGCCCATGTCATCAAGAAAAATTACACATAGTTTGTTGACATTATTAAAACTACGAAAAAAACGACATTAAATTTTCGATACATTCACGTACCTGGATAGACTAATTCAATGTACCATATCAACAATAGAAAGATAACACAAGATAATAACATTGTTAATGTGACTTGTGTAACGCTCAGATCATGATCTGTCAATGGTATATTCATATTACTCCACTGGAGACCGACCATCTGATCATCTAATGTACCAATGTACGATAAACCACATCCTATCGCTGAAGATGGGAATAAACACTATGAAAAGAAAATAACATCAAATTATTATAGCATAAATAGAAGACATTACAGAAACAATAGACATTTCAGTGACATCAACTTAAGGAAAGTGCGCTTGCACAGTGACCGGATGGCAAATACCGATTGTTCACACTAAAAAATATAACAATTGCATGGTTAACTTCTGTTGTTATTAAATGTACATGCATGTGCCTCTGTTAACTCTGTTGATGTTGATCAGTGAACGATATTTGTTAGAGAGCGTTCACATGTTACAGTGCGATGATCTATGTTTACTCTGAACTGCAGAATTTTCTTTTTAATTTTCAAATCATATAGAAACAAGTCATTGTTAATGACACAGTCCCCTTCCAAAATTTTCTGATCTGACATATCAATTTGATGCTGATGAAGTCATTGAGATTAGATTGAAACCATTAATAGGAGATGGATTTGTAAAAAATTATGATTTAGTGCTTTTACACGAGAATTGGACATTGGGCAGTCATATTGAATCAAATTACAAAAATAATATTCATGTTGATGTATCTATTAATTGGTATACTGTCTTGTACAAAATTTAAACAGAAATGTTCATTGCATTCATGGGAAAGTAGGTATGGGTATCATGAAAAACAAAATGGCCACCAGTCAGCCATATTAGTTTGAATCACAGAAAAAATATGACAGGCAACTATAACCCAATATGCATGATCATCATACTAACTTTGATCCAAATTGGCTTAGTCATCTTTGAGAAATAGTTCCGGACATGTAAAAATGACGATTTAGTGTTTTTACATAAAAATTGGGCATCAGCCAGCCATATTGAATTGAATTACAAAAACAATGTTGGTGCAGATGTATCTCTTGGCATACTACCTATGTACGAAATTTAAACAGAAATGTTCATTGCATTCAAGAGAATGTAGCATGGGTACCATGAAAAACAAAATGGCCACCAGTCGGCCATAATTGTTCCAATCACGAAAACAATATGACGTGCACCTATAACCCAATATGTATGATCACCATACTAACTTCAATCCAATAATAATATAATAATGTAATTAATTCATAACTTACTGCTAAGAACTTTTCTCTCACACCGATTACGTCATAGTTCTGGCTTTCAAAGTTATTTACAGCCATCATTGGCATCATGCCAAGAAAGTAAATTATACCACAGAACGCCGCTGCCAGCTTAGATTTAGAAAAAAATGTTGTCAGGAAAAACCTATGAAAAAAAAAATATCTGTTATTAAAAAAATTACCTGTAGATAAAACTATATAAATAGAAGGTGACATTCATTTAATTTTGATGCCATTATTTCTACTGTTTGATGATTGAATTCACAAACAGTACCGGTATACTGTAAAATACTTTATTTTAGCTGGAATTAATTTTTACTGAAAATATAATATGGGGGATTTATTTAGAATTAATTTTCATTGATTTTTGACAAGTTGAATGTAAAATATAGGTAAAAAGGTATATTCACTGGACTTTATTTTCACTGAATCATTCCTTCAATGAAAATAGCGAAAATTTATTCTGAGCAAAAATAAAGTATTTTACAGTAGGTGTAAATAGTATTGTTATCGATTTACATAAATTTGAATATGCACTGATACGTGACTGCAATTATGTAATAATAACCTGAACAAAATGATAATATTGGTTTAAGTTTAAGAATGTTTCTTACTAACCCAAATAAAACACTGGATACAGCAAACACCATTAAAAATACCAATAAAGCTATTGGATTACTGTATCTAAATAAATTCCCTAATTTCACGACAAGAACCAATGAGGACATCAAAATTATCATTTGCATAAAACATACAATAAATGCAGCCAACCAGTGAACACCACGACTAAGTCCCATCACCTTCATCATCTAAAAAAAAAAGTATCATTAACAATTAACATTGAGGGCGCACTTCATAATTATCAGTTTAGCAATAATAAGCGAAGCAAGTTGAAAATTTTAGATAAAGACATTTCATAACTAACTGATATAGTTTTAAAAAGAGAAGCTATGAATAAATGAATATATAAATTGTTAAATGAAAACATAAACAATTATGATATGGGGAATGAATCATTACCTCTAGTAGCCTAAGTTCTTTCTCTTGAACAATGGATTGTGATATCATAGCTATGGG